AAACAAATCAAGTTACGACCAGGTGTTTGGAACGTAACCCGTTCGTAAGTTGGGGACTGGCTGTAGTCGTTACAGTTGAGTGCATAATTAGAGTAAACTTGCAGGCAGTAAAAATTACAGTAAATTTGCAATTATCACAACCTAATCCTATTCTGAATGTGACCGCTAAAGACTGGAGCTCTTAAATCAATCCATTATCTCTCTCACATTATTTTTATCTTTTTTAGGTGTATTATTCCCTAGTCATTAGACGTCCAGGAGATTGCAACGTGACTTAATTTGTCCCTTGCCCTCACTTTTTCCAGCTGGGACATCAACCATGATGTCTGTTGCCTGGACAACATGATTTCCCAGTGTTACTAAACTCAGATCTGTTTTATAATAGCACAAATGTGCCTCTAGTCACCTGGCACTAACTAGCTTTCAGCAGTGAGTCAATAACTGCTCATCATTTGCTAGTGTTTTTTGTTTCTTTGCAAGAAGTAGCAACTTATTACTAAGATTTGTATTGTTAAAGTGAGACTAATATCCCTAGACACACATCCACTCGTGTTCCTGTGCAGTGTTGCCTCTTATGGCCAAATCTTGGTTCTGCTGATTTCAACAAGAGTTTGGCCACTGACAGTAATGGGAACAGAATTTGGTCTTTGAAGAACATCATGGGGTAAGAACTATGTAACAAAGCAGAGAGAGACTGACACCCATGCTGTGAACAAAGCTACATTCTGTTATACAAAGGTCCCACCAATGGTACAGTGAATATATACACCCTCTATATAGAAATGTATGTGTATGACTATTTGTTTTGTAAGGAGGGAATCTGCAGCTGCTCCTCCAGCAGGAAGAAAATAAGACCCTTAATCTCAGCCACTACTACTTCACAGCTACTACCTGTGATTCTGGGAGCTAAATCCAAATAGACACATTTTGCCTTTGTGTACTACGTCCCCCAAAATCATCTTGAGCCACAGATACTCTGCCCTTGTGTACATATGAATAAAAGTGGTTTGACACAATAACTGGAATGCTGATTGGTTGGTGACAGTTTTATATGTATGAGACATATCACTTATTGTACACAATGTCCAACACCCAGTAGGAATATTGATTATCGAAAACATCTGTTGCCAGTTCTTGCCCCTATTCCATTTTTGGCACAGTTCCTCCTTCCCATCATGACTCTTATGTTCTTTATTAACTTGTTTATGTAGTGGCATCCTGGCTGATACAAGCACAGTTCTGGGAATGGGATTTAGGGTTGTTAGCTGACTGTTGCTGTATAGGGCATTTTTCTTGTAAAATTAGCTTTCTTGTGACTTACTGAAACATCCATGTTAACAGCTTGGACAGAGAGTCTCGTAAGGATATCCTCCTTAACAGGCTGCAGCTACTGCAGGAAGCTGTTTCGTGTGCCTCAAACTTTGTCACTTACTAACTTACTGTAGTTTACAAGTCTAGTCTGCTTTAGTCACAGGCTCCTTCCTTTCTAGAGTCATTAGCAATTTATACTTCCCTAATATTTTCTCCCACAGTAACATTACAAAATGAATTACTTTTGGCAGGGATACTGTGGGCTAGAATCATCCCTGGAAAGACTATAAATCTGCACCACGAGGTAGTGATGGGTGAATCTCAAGGCTGTGACTTTGATACTTGAGCGAGTCTCTTGTGTCTGAGAAATCCGACTGGAAATCTCATGAACTGGCTCTCCTGATATTTCTGGTCCTTTCTGGCAGGCAAGCAATACCTTGGAAAAAATCCTCTCTTGCGATATTTGAGTATTTTGCTCCCAGTCCTGGCTGAGGCATGTCTGGGAAAAATTACTTGAACTTACTGAAACTTTCAAGAAGGTCCTGTTCAGGTTTAGGTAAGTTCTTTTTCTGAACTGGCTTTTCTGTGCTTATGCTGAGACTGTCTGTCATCTTCCCTCCATGACTCTTGTCTCTCCGTTAAATTGATTTTTATCTGATATGTCCTGTTAGTGACTAAGAGAGCACTGCTCCTGAATCTGACTAAATAGGAAAGAGGCAGTGAGATATAGAGCAGTGGGACTTTAGAGACCTGGATTCTGTTCTTAGCTCAGTTGATGGTGTGCTGGGTAGCCTTGGTCAAATCACTTCACCTCTCTGTGCCTTTCATGTACCCATATGTGAATTGGGAATAAGGATACCAGCCTTCTTTGTAACACTGTGAGAGCTGTTGATGAAAAGCTAGGTGGTCGTGTTTAACTCAAATGTGTGTCAATGAAAGCAAATCAAGAACAGTGTGTGGATAAAATAACTTCCTTGCTTAATCATGGTCACCAGCTATCCAGTGAGGTTTTCCAAGGTAGAAAAGACCTGAATTTCCGATATATTAAAAAGTACATAGGAAAAGCCACTTTTGGTGTGGGAGGATTCTTTATCCATCATAAAGCAAAAACACAGATTTCCTTCCGAAGTCTGCCTATTGAACTTCAGGAAAGATCAACATTTAGAAACCTAATATATTGCATGAGACACTCAAAGCAACCTCCTTACCTACTAACCATTTGCCTTCAAATAAATATATAGCAGGATAAATTGCGTGCACTTTAATGCATCTCTTTTCTCCCTACATGTCTCAAAATAAGCACTTTGACAAATGTCACGTGAGCAGATGGGTAAGAAGTTCCACCAGTTAAGCTACTATGTTTCAAATTTTCAAATTTATTTTTAAGATTATTTAAGGCCATCTTAAGATTTCTTAAAGACTAGCCTGTTTGGTCACAAATACAATGAAGTAATAAATCTTGTTGAACATGTGAAGTTGCCTGCATTTCCTTTGGAGCATCCATTGTGTTTGCACTAGTTCTCTCCCATAGTTTGCTAAGCAGTGAGGATGGGGGAAATCTATACACTGCAGTATACACTGTCAAGAGTCTTGGTTGCACATGCATGTCAGAGCAGGTTCTGAAATGTGGCTAAAGAGCGTGAGTGATCTCCAAAGTCTCTGACAAAAAGGAGTGTATGGCTAGTTACAACAATAAAGGGAAACCAAAAGCATCTCCCTTCTTTAAGAGCATTTTTAAGGGTTCACTGTACCACTAACCAACTCTAGAGGATATCAATGTCAGGAGTTGTGTGGGGGGAATGGTTGTTCTCACCTGTGAATGTGACCATGCCCTGGGACAGTTTGCTTGAGGGTAGTAAACCTCAGGTTGTTTGGAACAGGTGACAGGCTTCAGAATGGCTGCTCTGGGTCATGCTCTGAACAGAAAGATGTTGGAACATTGTAATTAGAACAGTGTAAACCCTCCTAAATCTGTGGACACATTTAAGTCTTGTGGACTAAGGATGTTAGAGTAGAACCATTTAAGCGATAAGCTGATGTTTATCGGTTAATGGTCTTGATTACACTCAGCCGACTCTCAGGGAGGTGGCTTGCTGCGGCAGGGTAGCGAAGCCTCCTCCTCAGGAGGCAGGTGGGCAAGAGCTGCCCTCTCTGCTCCTGGGGAGGAGGCTTTGCTGCTGCAGTGAAACCTCCTCTCTGGGAGCCGGGCCAGCAGAGGCTGGTGGCCCTGCTCCCGGGGAGACTTTACCGAGGGCTCTGCAGCATAAAGCTAAGCTTATAACGTTTCCAAGGCCTAATTTGACTGCATTTGAGGTTCATGTTGTACCTTTTCTGCAGGTCAGTCTCTGGAAATTATGAGCACAATTTAAAGAGTTTATTGGAGTGTTTTGTTTCTCTTGAAACAATTTTAATATGCAAACTACAGGTAAGACTTTTTTTCTTTATCCAGTTCATAATTATGTGGCAAAAACTTTGCAATCATGTGGATCTGCCCTGTTGAACTAATCTAAATTGAAACACCTTGTTCATATAACATGCTTCAGTACTCTGTCATGCGCCCATGTGCTAAGGTGAAGTCACTGTAAAGCAGCCTTCTATTCCCTGTCTGCTGGGGATTTTTTTTTTTTTAACAGCCACTAACCTGGCTTAACAAATAGGGAATTCTGGATGAGAAAACAAGAACTGGTCTTTTAATTGAGGATTGGTAAGGGATGTGAAATACTATCCCACACTGTGCAATGTAAAGAGAAACCCACCTGTTTGAATGAGATGCCATTTAAAGAACAAGAAGGTGGGGGCATAATGGAGAACACTTTCACCAAGATGATTGCACATAACAAAAGAGGGGACAGCATTCCTTCCCAGAAGCAGCATTATGTGGGCTGATGTTCCCCCTGAAACTTAACGTCCAAATATCATTTCTAGACAATGGAACCTGAAATAACCTTTTGCTTTGCTTTTTCTTTTTTCTTGTTCTCTTTTCTTTTCTTTTTTGTAAGTATGTTCTTGCTTAAGGTTTAATTGGCTCCAGTCGGTAGGAAAGGGCTCCAAGGCTGATTATTTATGGCTTACTGTCAAAAGTAGCTATAAAAAGGGCAGTATTATCTTGGAGATGCTGGGAAGGAAAATGTGATGGGGGGAGGGAGTGGGGGAGTGTGTGTGTGCACGAGTGTTTTCTTGTACTGGATGAAATCAGAGTTTTGCTGCCTCAGCAGTGTGGTTTAAATTGAAGATTAACCCTTTGACCTTCACGGTGTCAAATCGCTTACAGATGGATCACCAGTTACTTTTTTTTTTCACTTTTGGGGTGAAGAAGGGGGGTAACTTTTTTTTTTTTTTTAAGAAAGTTGTTTGTTCATGCAGCTGGAGCTTTTGAGAGGCTCAGAAGCCAATCTGATTAAAACCAGCACTTGGCTAAACTCTGCAAAATCCTGCAAGCAAAAAAAGGTTTAATCCCCTTGTGCACAATGCATAAGGGTCTGCTCTTTTTTTTATAATGTTAGAGCTATAATTATTTCTGGAGAACTTATCATTCTCCCCACCCCCTACCTCTTTTTTCCCCCCTTGTTGTGCTGATGGGATTAAAGTGTCTGCTCTTGAAAAGTAACTGAGTTTTTATTGGAAAAGATAAGTAGTAGGTTGCAATTATAAAATATAAATAACCTTGTTTCAATTATTCTCCTTTACAGCATCAGCAGAACAGAAATCAAGTGTGGTGGCAGATCCTTCTTTTCCTACATAACTTGGCCTTAAATGTGGAGGCGAACAGGAACCACATAGGTCAGAGGTGAGATCCCTCCACCTGTTCCAGGTCACATCCAGTCTGCAGGGAGCACTGAACAAACACTGGTCTGGGGAAAAGAGACATGCACACCGCCGGCCGGATGTGAGGACTCTGTCTAACTTTTATTTGTCTTCAAGGTTTTTGGGTTTTTTTTTTTGTTTGTTTGTTTGTTTTTTGAGGACTCTTCTTTACTGCTTCCTGCCTGATGAGGCTGGAAGCTCTTGTCCAACACTGTTGAAGGAAAGTCTTAAAATTTGGATGTGTTTGGTAAAGCTTGCTGCTGATTCCCCAAATCAGTAACCTCTATGCAAGTGTGGCAGGTAGTAGATTAACAGGTTCCTCTGCTCTGGGTTTTTTTGTTGTTTTTTTTTTATTGATAGAATGCAGCATTTTGTAATTTTGGCTGCTTGTTAATGATGGTGTCTGGGACTGATGGCTCTAAATGTGTTTTGGGCAACTTCCAGATTGAGACATTTGACTCCTCTATGGGATAACTTTGAAAAAAAGTTTTTTGGAAACAATTACAGTTAAAGTAGCTTATGTACAGCAGCAGGTGGGTCACTGTTTATTTTCCTGCATTTTATTACCAGGGAGACATGTAAAAATCTAGTTTTGTTTAATGACTTGACTGCCCTAAATTTGACATTCTTCACATGAAGTTGCTCTTGCCACCAACAGATGAAATCGTTTCTATTAGAAGAAGAGTCTTCAGAATCTTTCAGAAGATGTTGGCGACTCTTCAGTGTGTTTATACAAAGAACTGTGTGGTTCTGAACACCATATACTGTCCCCATAAACTAGGATAGAGCTCTTAAAGATGAAGCCTCATTCTTCTGAAATTGTTAATCTGTATATTTTTGTTAGTGCTCTGGTGTTTTGTTTGTTTTTTCTCCTTCCTATCATGTGGGCTGTTAAGAAGATTCAGATCCCAGGCATCTGATATGTTTGCTTCATGATTTGACTAGGAGATCAGTTAGTAATTACTTTGAACCCATACATTGCAGGTTTGTACAAGTGATTGGACTATTATTCTAATGATTAATACTGGAAGTTGGTATTAGTGTACACTGATGACAGAAATATTACTTGGAGTGATAGCTAATTGTCATTGACTTGTGACTGTTCTGGCCTTTTAAAATCTGTTTGGCTGCCACTCATGGAATGGAGAGGGAAACTACCTATCCAAAAAAGGTTGGTTTAGTTAGTATTTCAGGCTCCATAAACAAAGGGAAAAAAGGGTATATAGCCTCTGCTGTCCACAGACTGTTTCCATACTTGCCCAGAACTAGTTCTAAATCACAAATTATAAAACTAACACTAGGAAAAATCTTTCTGGACAGTTGCCCTTCAGTCCTGCTACAGCTGTCAACACAGAGGGATTCTGGGCCTCCTGGTCTGCTTTGAAGCCTAATGAACAGTAAAGCAGCCTTGTGCTGGAAGAGAAGTTTTCTTGCACATTTTCCTTCCCCCTCCATGTTTTTCCTCTTCCCTTCTTTTTTTGGAGGGGGGAGGGGTGTCCTTCTTTAAGCCTGTTTCCATCTCTGATATTTGTAATTATCCAGTTTCTATGTATCCTCAGTGCCCCTATTAAAGTGCCTGCTAATGATTTGTAGCACATATTTGTATTTGGATGATTTCCCTCTATTTCTCAATCCCATCGCTTAACTGGCATTCTGCTTTTTCATGGCGGGAGTTGCCTAGTCCTCTCAACTCCAGCTCCCAGGTCATTCTTAGCTCTGCTGTGATCTTTCAATACCCATAGGGTTCCTCATGCAAATGACCCCCACCCCAGCTAAAACTATATTATGCAGAGTAATGTGTTCCTCTGGGATAGTCAGCAGTTCAGAACAATGATTCCTAAATTAGCTGTGTTTCTTTTTACTTAAGCATGTGCACTGCGGAGTTACCCAGTGGGAGATAAGTGGTACCTGTCTTCGATTACTCTGCAGCAGTAGTAGAAGCTGCTCTCTATTTACTGAAATATTTTCCGTGGCTCTGCAAAGCAGAGTGATTTGTGGGATGTTATAATTGGAGAATTGGGTTATAAATAGGAAGCAGTCCTGAGGGGTGAGGGAAGGGCACACTGAATTGAGGGGATTGACGCCTCAGAATCTAGACGAGCTTGCATAGAGCCCTCTTAAAACTGAAGGTGTAGGCTTCTCAATAGGGATGTAAAATTTTGATTTTTTGGCTAATCGAATAGCTGATGCAATTTGTATCAACTATTCAATTAGTAGATAAGGGCGCTTCTGCCTTTGAAATGTGGCAACAGCCCCAGGGCTGTTGCCACACTTCAAAGGCGAAAATGCTGCGGGGAGACAGGGCCAGCAGGCAACTCAAGTAGTCCCCGCTGACCACAGCAGGCAACTCAAGTAGTCCCCGCTGGCCATGGGCTCCGTGCGGCATTTCAAAGCAGCAGCACTGCAGGGGGCCCAGAATGAGCGGGTGAGTTCCCAGCTGACCCCAGGCTCTACATGGTGCTGCCGATTTGAAATACTGCGTGCAGCCCGACCCCAGCTGGCCCTAGGCTGCAAGCAGCATTTTAAAGCAGCAGCACCATGTGGATCCCGGGGTCTGGCCCCAGGTTCCACGCAGCACTGCTGCTTTGTAGCACCTCCTCCTCTCTTTCTGACAGAGGCAGCAAAGGGGGGGGGAGTGACTAGCCTACTAGTCATTCACATCCCTACTTCTTAAGGAAGGTCTTGAGGGAAGAGGAGGGGAACTTTAGAGTCTGCAGTGAGGAAGGAATGAAATGAAGTATGGCAGACACATTGGTAATGTACATTCATTTCCCTACTGATTGGCTGAAAACCTTTCATTCATCAGAGGGGTCAGATTAATAACTAACAGCCTTATGAAGTGTGTAAAAATGGAGCAAGCCCATCTAACTTTAGAACACTAAATGGTCATCGTATCAAGAAATCAAACGTCACCTTTCTTCCTTAAATTGCAGCCTAATTAGTTAAACCAAGAAGCAAATAAATCTCCCTGGACTCCTTAGCCAACCACAATAGATATGTAAGCTGGAAAAGCAAGTCTGGTATAATCACTTAATGATGCTCTGTCCTCACTAGCTTATTCTATAATATCACCCTTCTTACTGGGGAGAATAAATTGCTAAAATAGTTTTGTAGGTCATCTAACTGTACAGAATCATTTGCTTCATGAGAGATGAGCCTTTCCTGGCTATGATGTCCACTGGTAGCAGTGGATTTATCAAAACTGTCTATTTCAAGGTCTTAAATGAGGTTTGGCAACCATGATGCTTCTCTAACATCTCATATTTGCATGTCTTGGAGAAAGAAACCAAGGTTCTATCAACCCTAAACCCAAGGATTTTAATTTGCTTCTTTTATGTCCACGGGGATTTTGCTATTGAGTTCAATGGGAGCAGGATTTGGTTACTACTTAACATCTCATCTTCTTCAGGAAACAATGGATTATGTAGAGTTTTCTTGTTCCTTTGCCAAGCCGTATGGTTATGTTGCCCTCAGGTGCACTGTTTTTTCATACATTCTGTCTAAGCAGGGCTCTCTTCAGTATGTACTTCTTTTGAGAAAATCCTCCGCTCAAAGGCCTGGTCTGCCCTACAATGGAAGTTCGAATTAAGATGTGCAACTCCAGCTACGTTAATTACATAGCTGGAGTTGATGTCTCAAATCATGCTTCCATGCCGTCCACACAGCAGGAGGCCAATGGAAGCAAACACTCCCTTCAGCTTCCCTTATTCCTCACAAAAGGAGGCGTACTAGACGCTGGCCGGAGCTGCTCTCAGCATTCAATTTATGGGTCTATACTAGACCCACTAAATCAAACGCCACAAGATTGACATCTGGTGCTTCCCCTCATCTGCTTAGGATAGACGTGGCCAATGTACTTATTACAGTATGACCACAGTTAGAAATATGTGGATCAATTAGGGAAATATTTTCAGGTAGGCCTAAATCTGATGAGGGGAGGGGCAACTCTTGAATGATTTAATAGGTTTGCCTTGGTGAAATGGGGAGGTTTCAGTTTTCAGCTCCTTTTTAATACACTCAAGTGCTAGTGAAGTGTCTTGAAAAGTTGGCTTTCTCCTAAAGCTCCTTTTAGTTTGATGGGCAACAGTCAAGACAACTTGAGTTTCAACTGACAGCACCTACAGTACAGGCAGTTCCTGAGTTATGCGGATCCAACTTATGTTGGATCTGCAGTTACGAACGGGGTTTGCTGCCCGTCTCCCTGGTCTGCTGAGACGGGGAGCAAAGCCTCTGAGGACGCCAGCAGCGGGACAGCCGCGGCGCGTCTGGGCTGTCCACTGCCCGCGTGCTCCGCGGCTTTGCTCCATGTCTCCCGGGTCTGCTGGGGGGGAGGGGGCGCAGCTAGTACGCCCCCTCCCCCCAGCAGACCAGGCTTTTCTCCGGAAGCCTGTGGTAGAGCAGCTGGGGCGCTGCCGGTTGGTCCCGCAGCGCCGCTCTGGGCGCTACTGGACCAACCTGGCAGCACCCC